GCACTGGCCACTTAGAGAAAGTTAATGAGGACAGAACGAGATTTTCCAGGACACAGGTAGAACACAAAACAATTGAAAATGAACTTGACAGCAGTGCTGAGATGAAATGAGATTAATGAACTAATAGTACAATTGCGGCTTTTCTTATGATTCTGAAGACTAAGTTTATCACGTAAACTTCAGAGGAATTTCTAGGTCATGTGATTAGATTTCCAGGTCTGATGAAAGCAAATACAATCAAATGGCCCCCAAGTTCACTTTCAATGTTTTTATTTTCTTCTAAATATCTTCATTCTAAAGTTTACAAAGCCAATATTCTTTTTTCTCTATCAATTTGTTTTTGCCAAGTTTTTCTTCACCTACAGGGCTAAAAGCAAAGCATTTTTCTTTTGTATATTTCTCCTGGTAGGTTACTTCAACCAAGGCAGTAGGACAGTAGCTTACACTTAGCTCAAATAATTTTCTTATATTTTTAACGTTCTGTCCTCAACTTCTCCCCCTTTTCTCCAATTGATTCCCATTGATTATTTATCTTTGTGTTCATTAAAATAACCCTGAAAACTTAAGCTCACAAAACAGTTGATGGTTATTATTATTTTAAGATCCAAAAAGAGAACTTTTAATAAATGTGTTTTTATTGATTTTTTATATAGATGAGGGGGGAAAGAGAGAGAGAGATAGAGATCCACTGGTTTCCTGACTGGGAATTGAACCCAGGACTTTTCGGTGCACAGGATAATGCTTAACCAGCTGAGCCACACAGGCCAGGGCGACAGCACTTTCTATCCCAATTAGATAGCCCACATATTTACTTGCAATCTAATTGTATAATATTATACAAAATATTTTTTTCAATTTCTTTATTTCTATTTACCGCCAATCTATTACTAATAAAAGGGTAATATGCTAATTAGACCAGACATCTTCCGGATGTCCTTCCAGAAAAAGCCACAGTAGCTCTGTGGCTGCGAGGGCCAGGGCTCAGGCTGGGCTAAGGGAACCCCCCTCCGTCCCCCCATCTCCCGAGTGCATAAATTTTGGGGCACTGGGCCTCTAGTTTATGTATAAGTTATTCAATATAAGCTGTTTGTGTCTGTACATTTAGAAACAGAAGATCTTAAGAAGTAATGTTAAAATTTTATTTTCTCTCGGCTACCTCCAGTCCTTGAGAAACAGAGACTCATGGTAGGTAGCTATTTACTCCATAGTATGTCCTTTTCTTTTTTTTTTTTTTTTTTTTAAATATATTTTATTGATTTTTTACAGAGAGGAAGGGAGAGAGATAGAGAGTTAGAAACATCGATGAGAGAGAAACATCGATCAGCTGCCTCCTGCACATCTCCCACTGGGGATGTGCCCGCAACCCAGGTACATGCCCTTGACCGGAATCGAACCCGGGACCCCTCAGTCCGCAGGCTGACGCTCTATCCACTGAGCCAAACCGGTTTCGGCCATAGTATGTCCTTTTCATTACTCTATCTTAAAATTGTTTTCAAAAATTATTGTTTTATTTTATGATTTTCTAGTGTAAACCAAAAATCATCAAAACACTTCTCTGCTTGCCTTCTGAAACTTTTATATTCTTTAATTCAATGTGGATGAAATATCTTGTTCACAGCCAAATGCAGTATACATTTTTCTGATCATTAGTTTATGATAATAACTGATAGAGCAGTCAGCTTTTTAAAAATCGCTTTAAGTTCCCTGGCTGGGTGGCTCAGTCGGTTGGAGAATTTTCCTGAGCACCAAATGGTGGAAGATTCCATTCCCCACTGTGGTGCGAGCAGGAAGGCAACCAATCAATGTTTTTCTCTCACATTGATGCTCCTCTCCAGCTAAAATCAATTAAAAAAATAAAATTGCTCTAAGGATGAATATTTTTGTCTACTAACTTGAATATTTAGAACACCTGGTAAAACTCACAAGGAGTGATGATCAATATAAACAGGTTGGAGAGGGAGCTGGACTAAATAAAACATTTAATAGGAGAACAAGCAATCAAGATTTACCATGGACTTATATAGACTCGGTCAGTTAATAATGGCAGGAACAGTTGTTTTGTATGCATATGTTATTGAGCAGAAAGAGTTTGTCCACCCAGTGCTAGCAGAGCCAAGCACTAGACAATGAGAATTGCAGTGGAGAGATATTGGCTATTTTATTATGAATGGTAAGCTAATGCTCAATGCTGGATGATCCCAATGGCTGGCGTGTAGGTTACAGATTATATAGGGCAAAATTGCAGGACACCATGGGTTAGGGGCTCAGGGTCCTGCTGCAAGCTGATTGGGGAGGTAAGGGTAATTCATTTCTTCAGGTCTTGAGGCTAGCTCTGAGGTCTTGGCCTACAACCCTTTGTCTGGTCTCATGAGGAAGTAGCCAGGGGGTTGTTTCACCTTAGATCTGAGGAGCTGAAGCATAACTTAGGTCAAGATGCTATCCTTAGCCTGCCAGAGGTTCAGACCTTGTGATAATTAGTCAGATCCGGGCTATTGTCTGCTGCCTCTGAGTTTGCTGATTACCTAGGGGAAAGGCTAGATCTCATAGGAATATATATGTTTAAGAGAAGTGATTTCTAGAGCTAGAATTCAATGGTAAATTTAATCATGATCATAAGGACCCTCAGTTTCCCATACAGTCATTCCTGTATGCAAAACCAATATAAGTCTACCGGTGCCAATCTTACAGAAATGGAACATATGAGAGTACATCAAAGCTGTTATTGAGAAGAGAGAAGCATTACTTTCGGGTCATATTGAAAGAGCGCAATGAACTGGAAAAGTCTCTCCAAAATGACTACCTCTTAAACATAAAGACAAAAATGAAGAAAGGCAAATGTATTTTTTCCTAATGTTTTATTCTTTGAGTGTGGAAGAGTGCGGTGTATATCCTTAGAAGAATGTCGACTGCTTGGTTTTGAAAAGCTTCAGAGTTCCGTTTGAAACTCAAAGGTGTGTCTTATGAATTGAGTTGAAAAGAACTTGAAAGAGTTCTAATAATTTTCTAAGATGAGAAACATACCGATTTCTTAACGTCTAATAAGATTTTCAACCCAGTCAACAGGTGTGTTTTAACAAACGTATTTCTCTGCAAACATGATTATTGGTTAGAATGCTTTTTTACTCTTCTTTTTTTTCCTTCTAGTATATATAACATGAAATTAGTGATTGGGAATATAAGAGTACCATCAATTACTGGGGACTTAGTTTTCTTGCTCTGTGGTCTTATTTCAACTTTGATTAAATAAGAGTTTGAGATTTTGTGTGTGTGTGTGTGTGTGTGTATACATTTTCCCCTCTGAGTTAGCTAATTCTAATTAGGCTCTGACCCAAGTAAATTCATAACGAGTTGCATAGAAATTATTAACTCTTCAGTTAACTGCAGTGAAAGACTATGAAAGTTTCTGACAAATGGATATGGAAAGCACTATCTTTTCTTAAAATGGAAGCACTGTGGAGATGAATGGAGATGCCCTTGTGAGTAGAGTCCTGCTTTTAGGCTCCATCCTTCCCACCATAGAAAGTGGACACTGACCCATGTCTCCATGAGGGTGCTGGAAGGAGCTGGTGTCTTCTCGGCTCCTGGCGTACCTAATTTTTAAGGATTCCCTTTCCTTGCAAATGGTAGTGTCTGCAATAAGTTTTACTTCGTGGGCAAGGTGTCAGACTTATCGTCAAAAGCCTTCAAGCCCAGTGGTGAGTGTAGGATCTTATATAAAATCATGAATGTAACTGGAATTACTTCCTCTTTTGTGAGTTGAGAATGTTTACTTAGTTATGTTTTTATTTGGTTGGTATATCCACACTCCCTATTGTGCAAAGAATTGGGCGGCAAATACAGAACTGCTAACATGGATGGAGGAGGTCATTGTCTATGGAAATAGCTTGTGCAGTGCTCTTTGGAATCTCAAATACTAAAACAACACCCGTGACTTTTCTTTATGATCTCTAAGATACCATACAAATTCAAGAGATTCTGACAACCAGAGGCAGAAAGTTAAGGCTAAAAGTTTAAACTACAAACATTTGTTAGGTTGAATATGAGACTAAAATAAAAGATAAGGATCGTCAGGCCTTAAATAGTCACAAATTGCCTAGAATTTGCGATTATTGATGCCCTTTGATTCTCCTTCTCCTTCCAACCACCAACCATTGAATATTTCCCTGCTCATTAACACTTGGCTAGGAGTAGAAAGATAAAATGCTAATCAGTCAATCGGGCTAATTGTTAGCAGCAATGATCATTATTTTATTTTATTTTATTTTTCTTGAAGTTGAGGTAGGGAAAAGGTGAAGTCTTTTACTAAAATGTGGGCTGGAGATTCCTAAACTTTGTGCCACCTTCCCTTTCTTTTCATGCATACATAAGTTCAGACACTTTGTTTTTTAGTAAGATATTAAAGTGAACAAAAAATTGAGTAATTCATCTGTTCTCAAATGTTAATATAAGTTCATATTACATATTTCCTATTGCCTAGTGTTTGGATAGTCCTATTCTCCTACAAGGAAGCTTCAGGATTTAATAGTTGCAACTTTAAATGTAGGCCCATATAAAGAACTGCACTTGCTGAATGGATTTAGACTAATAGGGAGTCAAGGTGGAGAAAATGACTTAAGACTACCTTCCCCGTTGCCTCTGCTAGACATTACAGGGCCCTCCTCACACCAAATAAGGGGAAGAGGAATGTTCTGAGCATTAAGGACACTAAGAATAAATCTGAGTTATCATGGATAAGATTACTTTCAACTCTTTATTTCATGTTTTCAGATGTAGACCCCAAGAACTGTAATAATCTTAGGAAAACTGTGAGGGATTAAGCAATACTTTTGAGTTCCCTTTCCTGCTTTCATTATTTCTTTATTTTTTTATTGCCTATCTCTATTTGGGGCTGGGGAACTGGTGTGTGTGTGTGTGTGTGTGTGTATGTGTTTCCCAGTGCCAAAAAAAAAAGTGCTGCAGAGTCCTAGGGAGATGAGGAGGCTATTTTTATTCGAAGCTGATACTTCTGCCTGAGCCACAAGTGCTGCTTGGAAAGGGCTCAGGTTGTTTCCAGGGGGAGAACTCTGCAGAGAAGAGACAAGTTCAAGAAGACACAAAGGAGCAGCAGGAACAGCCAGGAAAACCAAGAGCCCTCACTCTTCACCCAGAACGCCCCCAGCAGAGTTCTCGAATCCTAAAGTATTCTGCAAAGTGCCACTAGACCAGGACTCTTGGCCTGCCTTTTCCTCTCTGGAAACACCATGACTGAGATCACTGCTGAAGGTACTGCTACCATTTTCCGATAGTATCAACTAGAATACAAAGTAGAAATTGACAGTCAATGTGCCGACTTAAAATCTTGTTTTTAGTTCATTGCTTTGATCAAGTGACTCCATACGGGATCAGAGAAGTGGATTTGGGAACTGAGAGGCGGGCAGAGTGGTGTGTTGGGGGAATGGGTAGAGGTTTCTCGGAAATTTTGCATGTGGAAACTTTTTTGCTACGCCAAAGGCCCCACTAGTGAATAGTGTCACCCACACCTCTATAAATAGCCGTGGCCTTGTAACATAGCTGATATCTCACCTAGCAAAAATACAAGGCTTGCAAGCGTGGAGACCACAATGAACTTAAAATGTTGTATTTCATGTTTCAACTTGGAATTTGAGTATTTTGCCTACTGGTATTTTAAAATAGAAATCCTAATTTATGTTTCCTTTCTAACTGGAGTATATAAATACACCCACATACAGATTTGTATACAATTTAAGATATAAGTTCTCCCTCAAAGTTTTTTTTTTATATCTTACTAGAGACAAGGTTTGGAATTACAGAAAATCACTACAGATCAATGTGATTTCCAAAATAAAGCAATTTAAAACTGGCTGTATTCTGATTCTTTTTATGCACTCATGTTTCTTTCCCCCCTAAATGATGAATTCCATCTTTATTTTAAAACAAATATTTTATTTCAATACTTATTCTGAAAAGGTGCATGCTATAAATAAAGCATATAATGTTTAATTATTTCACCATGGTAGTAATTGTTTTACATATGTATTATATGTAAAATGTATGTTTAGATGTAAATATACAAATGTATATATCAAATTATATATATACAATTATATATAATTTTATATATATCTTAAGCTAAAAAGAGACTTTAAAACAACTCAAGCATGTTGAACACAGACACAATCCGGTTCTAGTTGGTGTAAAAATTTGGGAGGTGGATCTAAAATTTGCTTCTGACAGCTGTAAGAAAATCAGACAGGTGGTGCTCTCAAAAGCTTCCAAGTTGAATGCTGTGTTGGTTTGTTTTTAATCAGACAACTAAAAAATAGAACCTGAGGTTTTGGCGCTGTGGACAGACAGTTCTATGGACACACAGTGACATCAGAGTTGGAGATTTTTTGTATTTATCAGAAGAAATATCTTACTTGTACTTTCCATTGAGACATTTAGTCTGATACCCTAAATTAACAAAAACAACTGCTGAGAGATTTCCCTGTATATCAGGTATTTTGCTCAGGGCTTTTTGTGTATTTACTTATTTAAACCTCACACAATCCAATTAAGTCAGCATTATTATCTCCACTTGGCAGAAATAGAAACGGTAGCTCAGATGTTCGGTGACTTGCTCAAGACCACAGTATTGCCAAGATTAGAAGCTCGTTCCCTGAAATCTAGTTTGTGTTTTCGCTTTTCTGTAAAAGGATATCGGGTTTCCTCTTCACCCATTTTAGTTGAGAACTTGCTAACTAAATATAAGCAGCATTTTTTTTCCTATTCCTTAGATATTCTGAGTCATCCAGCCTTTGGTTTGTCTTAAAGAGTGCTGTCTATAAAAACTTCTTGCTTAGCCCGGCACAAGTTGCTAAGATACTTATGAATATATTTCTCTACCTCTGCACAGGACTGCCAGCTGAATCAGGAGGTCACTTGGCCAAAACATTTTTGACTTGTCTGCAGATTATGCTCTGTAGACCTTTGCACTTAATTGGTAAAACATTTTACAGGAGAATTCTTCAATATGAAATAGAACTTTTCTATGTTCTCTCCATGGGAGAGTTTAAAGTGTTCTTGGAAGACCTCCTGGAGTCACCCATTAAAAATCATTGAATTAGAAAGAAATTAAAAATGCAAAAATGCCACCCAGTTCCTGGGTGATGGTCATTTCCTACTCCCTGGCTTTAGCAGTTCATAGGACCTATGTCATCTGAACATCAGTTATGTGCTCTTATCATTTTCTGGGATGATTTATTAATCACATTTCTCAAATAATAATTAGACTGCCAAATCAGAGCTTAACTTTTAAGGTTAGCACTTCAGTCATTCTCAGTGGTGATCTAAAGTTTCTTCTTGCACACTGCTTCTACTAGACACTTTTCTTTTTGTCTTCACAATTCTAACTTTTTGTGTCTCATCTAGCCTTCTTTTAGAAGTGAACTTTTCTACAGGGCCTTGGTACAACCTGGAATATTCTTTCCTCTCACCTGCTATATTTCTTTTGCACCACTTTTGAACACATTACTGCAATGCAAACACTGCATTAGTGGCCTATGACATCTACTGATTACTCTTCTGATCCATTTATCACAGAACAAGCAAACACATCATCGTAGCACTTAAGAAAATTAGAGTTCAGTAGCCTCTTATAGAGTTCTAGTTCACTGTCCTCACCTCAAATTTTGAAAAAACTGAGGTTCATGAAGTTATATGACTCTCCATGGTCATTAATAATTACAGGAGGTCTGATGATACACTTCATGTCTCCGTTGGTGTATCCCAGAGCTTATTCAACCATAATGCAGGACATGTTTCTAAACCTTACCCAGTTCTTCACGTAGATTTCCACTGCATGTTCCAAGCTCGATGACTTTATCTGACAAACGAAAGGAAGTAATGCAAGGTATGGAATTGTCTTTCAAGAACAGAACAATAGAGTAACCAGAACTAGGACCAAGTTGAACACCAAAGGACTTTAGGCAAACAACATCTTTTGATTCTGGCCTTGATAAATTAATAAAGATAATTATAATTACAATGATGATAACACTTCACATTTATTCAGAAGACATTATATATCAAGCACAGTGTTAAGATTGCTTTATGATCATTTAAACCTCAGGACAACCAAATGAGACAGGAATAGGAACCTGAGGTTTAGAGAGGTTAGAAATTTGCCTGAATTCACACAGCTGTATATGATGTAGCTAGGATTCACAACCACATCTCTGATCCCAAAGTCACATTGAATACTTCAATACTAATAGTTAGCCTGGTATGAATTTGGAGGTTAGTGGGGGCCTACACTAGGTCCGTTTTCTGGTTTGGCCAATGCTACTTTGGGTAGGTTAGAGCCAGCTACAGACTGGATCAGACTCAAACAGCCCTAAGTTTTAACACTATAAATAACCTTCTATCTTCTTTGTAGAGGCTCAGTTATTCCTAGACAAGTGCCTAAGTTAGTTTCCCTTCTGAGGTCCATATGAATTTTCAACTACCAATTTCAGCATCTATTTGACAGTATGTATCACTAGGCAAAATACATTTTGAGTAATTTGTTAATAAAATGACATTTAATTAATTCTTAATAGCTTTGTTAAAAAGATGGAGATTTTTAAAAAATAAGTTTAAAAGTATGTAATGTTTTCAAATTGCCAGTTAACTAATACATAAACAAATTATTGTTTACAATAATTGTGCTCTTTTGGCCTAAAGACCTCCAAAATAGTAAGAAATAAAATATTTACATAATGGATTCCTGTTGATAGAAGTCCAATATATATAATTAACTTGGCATTACTAGAACACTTAGTTGAGAAAAATTCTGTTTTTAAGTTATAAGTTATGTCATTCTCTCAACTTCTAAACTATTATATAATTTCAGGATTCAGGAGAAGGGTTATTGTACTGCATATTCTTTTCTTACTATTAGTTCAAGCGTATTTCACTGCTTCTGTATCAAACCTATGAGAGGGTTTTTATATTACACAATGCACTGCTTTGACAGAATCTGTAGCACACAAGGAACCATGGTTGCTCTCAAGGAAAAAGTTCAATAATTCATAGCTAAACTACTTAACAACTATGTACAGAAGTTATACCATTTAGAGCAACAGATAGTAAAATTAAAAGAAGGAAGAGATCCAACTTACATATCTGTTTTTATCTGCCCAAAACCAAGAGCAGCTACTCTGGCCTAAGTGGAGATGACTTGTGTGTAGTAGGAGGAGAAAGAGAATAAAGAACTAGGTTCAAGTCTAATTACTTCCACGTGTGTTCTCCTTTCCAGGAAAAACAAGAGACCACAGAATATCATTTTTAGATGCAGAAACACATTTTTTTTTTTTAAAAGTCAATATTTTTTATTGAATAATTCTTAAAATAAATATTTTATAGGAAAAAATTTATCGTCGCTGAACAACGTATGATTATTAACATAACATTATTTTATACCAATCATTGCATTTGATTTTATTTTATTTTTTTTAATTAAATCTTTATTGTTCAGATTATTACATTTGTTCCTCTTTTTTTTCCCCCCATAACTCCCCTCCTCCCAGCTCCCGCCCCACCCTCCGCCCTCACTCCCCACCCACTGTCCTCTTCCATAGGTGCACGATTTTTGTCCAGTCTCTTCCCGCATCTCCCACACCCCTTTCCCCCCCAAGAATAGTCAGTCCATTCCCTTTCTATGTCCCTGATTCTATTATTATCACCAGATTATTTATTCACTTGATTCTTAGATTCACTTGTTGATATATGCATATTTGTTGTTCATAATTTGTATCTTTACCTTTTTTTTTTTCTTCTTCCTCTTCTTAAAGGATACCTTTCAGCATTTCATATAATACTGGTTTGGTGGTGATGAACTCCTTTAGCTTTTCCTTATCTGTGAAGCTCTTTATCTGACCTTCCGTTCTGAATGATAGCTTTGCTGGATAAAGTAATCTTGGTTGTAGGTTCTTGGTATTCATCACTTTGAATATTTCTTGCCATTCCCTTCTGGCCTGCAAAGTTTCTGTTGAGAAATCAGCTGACAGTCGTATGGGTATTCCCTTGTAGGTAACTGGGTTTCTTTCTCTTGCTGCTTTTAAGATTCTCTCTTTGTCTTTTGCTCTTGGCATTTTAATTATGATGTGTCTTGGTGTGGTCCTCTTTGGATTCCTTTTGTTTGGGGTTCTCTGCGCTTCCTGGACCTGTAGGTCTATTTCTTTCACCAGGTGGGGGAAGTTTTCTGTCATTATTTCTTTAAATAGGTTTTCAATATCTTGCTC